TTACGTATTCTCCACCTGTATATGTTATATATACCTGACCTGCACCTGTTACATATTCTCCACCTGTACTTGTGACCTATCCCATGTCTGTACCTGCCACCCTTCCCTCATCCACGCGCATTACCTTTCCCTCCCTTACCTATACATGCCTCATCTGAACCTACCACTAATCTCTCACCTCTACCTGCCACGTGGCTAAGAACTCACGACGACTACCCAGCATTGACGGAAGTTACACACGATGTTCAAAACGGACGTTGGAAAAGACATTTGCTACTCTGGCAAGTGACGCCATCTAGTGAGAATGAGCGCGGTAGACTGGTTACTTACCATCTTCATCCTCTGCTGGCTGAATGCTGATCCGCGCATCTTTCGACTGGAAAACATTATCAACTCAACCATCAGTAAATGTGAGTGAAACCTTCACGTTAGTCGATACCAGTAACAGTTACCTTGTGTATTAATCACCTAAACGTACCTTTCGTAACGAGGGCTAGAGAAAGAAATGCATCTGTCAAAAACCACACACACAACATACGTCACAATAATGTGAGTAATTCACTACACGTTACCTTTGGTCCCATTGTTTTCTCCATAGCATCTCGTTCTTCTTGAGCTTGCTGGGCTGTTAATGCAGAAAGACACGTGTAAGTGCAGTGAAACGAATTTACTCCAATCGACGATCAGCGTACATGAAAACAACGAATCATCACAAAGCACTACACACACGCACGCACGCACGCACGCACGCACTCACCCACCCACCCAGACACACACACACCCACATGCATGCACACACGCACTCAGACACTCACACACGCATGCATGTACGCACCCATCCACTCAAGACACTCACGCACGCACACACACACGCACGCACGCACGCACACATACGCGCACACCACCCTTCCAGACACTCACACATGCACGCACACAAAGACACTCACTCACCCAGATACACGCACGCACGCACGCACACACACGCACACAAACGTTTTGAACTGCTGAACAACGACTACTACTACACACACACGCTAGCTGTCACCTCTTCCCTTCGCGGCGATGAAAGCCTGATACGCCGGCGAGTTGTGGTACGCCTTCATGGCCTCTGCATACTCAGCCTGATGCAAAGTGCAAAGAGAGAGTAGAATCGTGTGTAGTAACAGTCGTAGCACACAACCCAATCACATTAGTCACATTCATTAACCTCGTTATCCGTAATCAGTTCATTAACCTCATTATCCGTAATCAGTTCATTAACCTAATCATCGAACATAACGGGTGATAATTCACACCCTCACTCATACACCGTGAAATATGATAAATAATTTCGATTGGACGGGGGGGACAGAGTCACGACAACGCGAGACGACTATCACGCCGATTCTTCCATATCCGCCCATCGGCGTAGACGACGCGCGATGCCGTCCCGCGCGACAAACCGCCGCGCGTTGCGGGTAGAGGGCACCACCTTCTCGAGTTCGTACTCCTCCGTGAAGATCTGTTTGTCGGCCTCCGGCAGCTCTCGCCACATCTGCCCGATAATCTTGCCGATCTCCCACAGCTTGCTGTCCTGGTGAGCATTCTTCACCTGATCCCACACCTGCGGCGTCAGATACAAGGTGACGATTAACATCGAACGACGCAGGAAAGCAACCACCCCCCAAAAAAACACACACATGCACACACACACACACACACATGCACGCACGCACGCACGCTGACACACATGCACACACAAGCACGCATGCACTCTCACACGTATGCACGCACGCACTCTCGCACGCACACATGCACACACACACAGGCTCACACACGCACACACTCACACACATGCACACACACACACAGGCTCACACGAACACAGGCTCACACACGCACACACTCACACACATGCACGCACACACATACAGGCTCACACACGCACACACTCACACACATGCACGCACACACACACACGCACGCACGCACACAGACATGCACACATACACACACACAGACTCACACACGCACACACTCACACACATGCACGCACATACACACAAGCTCACATACGCACACACTCACACGCATGCACGCACACACGTACGCACGCAGACATGCACACACACACACACACACAGACTCACACACGCACACACTCACACACATGCACGCACACACACACAGGCTCACACACGCACACACTCACACACATTCACGCACACACACACAGGCTCACACACGCACACACTCGCACGCACGCACGCACACACGTACGCACGCAGACATGCACGTACGTACGCACACACGTACGCACGCAGACATGCACGTACGTACGCACGCACACGCACGCAGACATGCATGTACGAACACACGCATGCATCTCCCCCCTCTTACCTTGCGACTGTACCTCATGTACGGCTGCAGAGGCTTGTCCGGCGGCTTCGGTGGCTTTGGCACGCGGTTGTCCTGCAAGCAGAGAGACGCGAGGAGAGTGAGAAACATCCCTCCCACATACACGCGACGAGGCCCTACCACTCCCCCTCCCTAAGATGATCCCTCGACAACCGCTCCCCACCCCCACGACAACAGCTCGTTGCCCCCGGCAACCGTACAATGGCGCCACCTGGGGAGGTCACATTGCTTTGCGAGATTCACGATTGATCGAGCGGAAATCAGTATCTTAAATCTGTGCCGCGGCGCGTGCCTCTGACGATAACGTCGCGTTGGCTTCGCACACCAAGAATTTCATGTTCTTTTGTTCTTTCTCGCGAGAGAGGAGCGAGCCGAGAAGTCGTGACGACACGCTCGCTAACGAGCGACGCATCGTTAGCACTGTCTCCGCTCGTCTGATTCACCTCCCGTCGACACCGTGTGCGTTTTGCACCGTTTACACGTTTAGTCAGAGTTTTATCCGTTCATCGCAATTCATAGTGAATTCCGCTGATGAAGGGACAAGTAATGATCGCCGCTCCGTGTTGCCATGCCGCACGACGCCACGGTGACACGCGGAAGCATTCGCAATAGGGGACCAAGTTGTCCCTTATTGCGATTGTCACGAGCGGCATGTATCATGGTACGACAACGGTGTGTGTACGGACGAGAAAATCTACACAAGGTTGCAAACAAAACCAAAACCGTCATTCCATCTATCCACGGTGTACGTATCAGTGCAAATTGTTAGTGGGAATCGTACACGAAATGACCTACGTACGACATCAACGAAGGAAGTAAGCAAAGTCGTAAACAAACACTCACGCACACAAACAAATAAACAAACTCGTGACGACAACATGACATACTTGTTGTCATGCATAACCAGTAATGTCAATCTTACTAGTTCTTACAATACAAAATATTACAACTCAGTAGCTCGTGTTGCTGACGACTATTTAATGTATCTGGCAGAGGTAGATAGCATTTATCATTACGAAAACATGTACAATATTTTCCCAGTTGGACTAACCTTGTTTCCAATTAATTGCAATTTAATTCTAGTTAAGACTAAAGGCATGTAAAAAAGATGCGACCAAAATAAAGCCTGCATAAACGGAAATCCAATGTGTTTACTCCGTGAACCTACCAACACTGCTTGGCGTAAAACTTGATCGAGGCACACAAGACTTCAAGGTAAGCATGCAGCCACTGTACATACATACGCTTGCGCAAGCAGAAAGAGAGAGAGAGAGAGAGAGAGAGACGAAAAGCATGTGATGCATACAGGTACATGACTTGGCATGCGAGCACACACACACACGTGCACGCACGCACGCGTACGCACGCACGCACGCATGCACGCACTGAGTACACATGGTTACTCAGTGTTACAGGTGTTACAGGCCACTTACAGAGTGCAAGCCCAGTTTGACAGGGTTGAAGCCTGGATGGCCATGTGTGGATTGCACAAAGGGTCCAGAATTGGACGAAGAAGAGACCTGCATTCATACACAAAACAGTTGAGGTGCAAATTTCTGATGTAAAAGTCTCTTCTCTCTCTATACTAAGTTAAAAAACTCAAGTTACCCTGTGGCAAACCGTGTTAAAAGTGTTACGTCGCACAAGTCAGTCAAAGTTTACCTCTATGTAACTAGTGACTACGCATGTACGTATGTGCACATCTATTCTTGCAGGAGGCACCAGTATGTGTTATCTAACAAAGCTCCTAACACAGGTATAGTGTGAGCTACAAGACTCATCTACCACATCATAGGTTTGGCTACACAATCTGGACTAAGTCAATGATGAACTCATTGTTATTGCAAGTGCTGTATAAACGACATGTACACACCAGGGTTCTGCCCACGGTGGGCGGCGGTGGGCGGGTGTGCCCGGCACTCGCTGTTGCCGCCCGGCACTAATTTTTGATGAAAAAAAAAAAAAGTCTGATATATGGCTTTTTATTGCTCAGAATGCAGGAAATTGAGTTTCAGACTATCCAAAATCAAAAATTTCCCAGGGGGCATGCCCCCGGACCTTCCTAGATTGGCTTCGCGTTTACGGCGCTTGCATAATTGGATGCGCCCGGCACTAAAAAATCCTGGGCAGAACCCTGCACACTATACATCTCCCGGATCCTTTTGCTAGATACTGCACACAAAAAACATCAGACAAAGTGTACAGGGCTAAGTATATAGGTGAACTTCACACATCAAACACTCCAAGGTACACGTCAAGATCATACTGCAGATGGAATACAATACACAGCACACTAGTCTTCAACACACGGGTGTACCACGCGTAAACAATTCAACGATGAATCTTCCCCGCAACCTGCGACGATTGCGTTCACTGTCTCCTCCTGTTACGTGACCGAACGAGATCCACCCATTGTTAACAGCCTCATGGCGTTACGCCCTCCATTTACTTCTCCTTTACGCTTCCTTCCTACGCTCCGTTCTCCCTTACATCATTTATTCAGTTTGCCACTACCGGAGTAGAGAGAACGCGCACTTGTGGTAAGCGGCAGGCGAGATACAAAAGAGAGAAAGAGAGTGGGTTTACTCACCGGTGGAGGCATCGAAGGATACTGAACGGTGCCGTACGGCTGGTTATTGTATGGCAGAGGCGACCTCAGCCGATCTGCGAATGCAAGAAGACGGGTCTTCGATAAGCACAGATGCGACGAACGATACCTGGCTAAAGACGCCCTCAGAGTGACATTCGACTGGATTAAACCTGTACGACATGCGTCCGATGGCTGTGACTGGTGCTGATATCGTCCTCAGGGTGAGAATCCCACCACAGCACGAACAGCAAGAGCCGGGTTTGCACTTGCCATGATGCTCCTGAAGATTTGACGATGTACCCAGCTATCACCGAGGCTTCCCTACACCTCTCCAATGTAGTTACTGGTTTTAATTATTCTTGATTTATACAAATGCTAACACTGTCTGAAACATGTTAAACAATTGTAAGATTAGAGTAAAATTCAATTTCTGCCCAAAAACATGGTTAAATGGTTGAGCTAAATTACGGAATAGTAGTTGAATTTGACTTCGGATTCATTAAATTTTTTCCCGTGTTTTATACAGTATCACTAGCATGCATCAATTGTGAATTTGTCGAACCTTGCGTTCATACTTTGGGTACATGCAGAAATTTTGTAAGGAACATGTTTAAGGTTCAATCTTACTTTAAGACCCAGAAATTTAAATGATGGATATGGGACTATGTTGAAACAAATATTATGTTCGAGATAGGGATACACTTTCAGGGGCGCAAAAATATTGTTTAGGTATAGGGGCCGTAGATGTAGGCTATAATAACATTAAAATTTTATTCAGGTAATAGATTATAGATCTTATACGAGCATTTTATTATAAAACACTGCCTACATAACGATAGAAACATGGAGATTTAATTTTCACAATTTTCAGAGCTCTGCTAATTTGGGCGTTTTATGAATTTTGTAATTTGAGCGTTTTGCTAGGGGTCGTAATTTGGGGGCCGGTATTCGGTAGTGTTGTCAATCGGTTGTAATTTCGTAATCGATCATCGGTTGGACCCAAGTAACCGATGATCGGTTACAATCGGTTCACTCGGGTTGTGAATGCCTGCCAGTGTGCGTAACGTCGTGTGCCATGTATGTGCTTGTTTAGCCCTGTTTACTGTTTGTTTTGCACTGTTTACTTACTGTATGTATAATACATGGTATGTTAATAAAGGATAAACTTGATATAGTTAGCGATGATATCTCTGATTCGTCATCACTTTTCCAAGTTTTCTTGTTCAAGTTTAAAAAAATATAAAAAATCGAGTATAATGCAATGATCCGTGAATTACTAGGTATTCGGTATTTTATGAAAATGGCTTGGATTAGGCCCCGACTTAGGATAGGATTGATTATGAGTCAGGGGTCTGTTGTCAGAAACAAAATTATTCTTAACATTAGTCTTAGCATTAACATTAGCATTAACTTTACGGATGTTTCTGACAACGGCCCAGGGCATTAGGGGTTAGGGGTTGAGGATAATGATGTGTATGTATCAGAGTCCAGAAGTAGGATAAGCCCCTACGTTATTATGTAGTTATATCTAACTACCCACCTTGGTCCTGCATCTGTGTAGGGCATTTCTTCAAAAGACATCTTACCTTCTCACCTACCATGTGGTTCTATGCCTACAAATCACGGCAAAGCAACATACACTAAAATCACTTAACTAGTGATCATCATTCTCACTTTAATTAATATGCCATGTGTATATATGAGGATATTGCATTATTAATTATGGCGCCAACACACAAGCAAAAACACATTCAACAGCATTGAAGGCCACATGTAGACACATACTGCATCTTAAAATAAAATTCACCACTTGCCAAGAAGCAGAATGCAATGCAACTGGAGCATCGCATGAAATATCAATCATTAATAAAATAATCAAGCAGCCATGCAATCAGGTTTGACTTTTATTCCTGTGAGAACCAGCCCACATTAACATACCCTCAACGTATGGTTTCCTTAACAAACACTGGAATGTTATATGATTTGACTACACCTGAGAAATACTAACATTGATGTAGTTATTTCTCAATGGATAATACAGTACTTACACGCCAGAGAGGAGGCAGCTGCAGACTGCACTGGCATTTGCTGTGAAAGCTGTGAAGTATATCGATACGCTAACTGCGCTTGTGGTGGCAGTGCCATGCCGAAACTTCAAAAGGGACGATCCTAAACATTGAAATGATTTTTTGTACTTGTACTTTTCTGGCATATGATTTGGCTAACAGCGCCATGATTGCATAATAAATAATAGTATATTATTTATTTACCTATAAAAACATTTGTCAATTTTGAAATACAACATTACGTAATTTCCTTTACTGTAACCAGTATTTTAATTAGTTTGGTTTTAAATTGCCGGAACAGTGCAATGCCCATATTTGACATTGATTCAATGATTCATACTCATAGTACTAGTAGGAATGATTCAGTGAACAAAGTCAACACCTGATCAATCGTGTAAGCAATAAAACCATAGCTACATTTTTAATTATCGGGTATATATTCGCAGCAGTCTACCATGATACCAGGAGTAGATAATAGGGAAGGAGTGTGACTTCAATAAACAAGGGAAATTCGTCATTTACTAGCCTTATAATACCTACGATTTACTACGCGTAACTCATCTAACTTAAGCTCAAATCGTACACAGTACATTCGCCTAGCATCGTGCAAAATCGTTTCCTCGTATACACCAGCAATCCGGAGATACAGAATAAAACGTACGACACGATTATCCATTCTTTGGCCATCAATCTGAATGTATTCCCCGCCAAACTTGCAAACAAAAGGCAGCTACTATCGCACTGTGGCTCACTCAGCAAGGCGGTGTGGCTCGCTGGGAGATTGGACATCGACGCAACACTCGGCGAGATAACCTTTGACCCGACATACAGCTACATACCGGCATACAGCTGGTATGCCCCCCACGCACGCACGCCCACCGCAATCTCCCTGCGAGCCACACGCCTCGCCGAGTGAGCCACAGTGCGTTAGTAGCTGCCTTTTGTTTGCAAGTTCGGTGGGGAATACGTTCAGATTGATGGCCAAAGAATGGATAATCGTGTCGTACGTTTTAGTCTGTATCTCCGGATTGCTGGTGTATACGAGGAAACGATTTCGCACGATGCTAGGTGAATGGGTTCAAGGATCTAGAGATGATGTCCAGTACGGTGATTGGATAGGATGATGTTAGTTGATAAGATAGGACTGGACATCTTCTCTATCCCTGAGCCGGCGAAGGTAGGGCCTACTGTGTACGATTTGAGCTCAAGTTGGATGAGTTACGCATAGTAAATCGTAGGTATTATTTATAAGGCTAGTAAATGACGAATTTCCCTTGTTTATTGAAGTCACACTCCTTCCCTATTATCTACTCCTAATGATACCAAGTGACTGCCACCGTGGTAAAAAATAATGCATGCCTAAACGAAAGCAAGGGCCAAGCTAACTAATCTAATGACAATGTCAATGTAAATGAATGAAATAATGAAAATAAATTGATCCATGTCCGGGTGCAATCACATTAATCAACAATGTTCAAGCTCCGAATCAGTTTGGAGGCTAATAAATAAGCAATTTATGCAGACGTATACCTCAGCGTATTTGCATGCAAGCGTAAATATTCAATAGAAAACCTTTGATGACATATCATCAAACAACAAAGCCATCCATGTAAACGAAAATATTCTCTGCCGAGTTTCGTTTATCAGCCGCTAGAGTGCGAGACATCGCTAGTTCGGATGCCCTTTCATAACATACCCCCTCCCCCCTCAACCATGCACATGGACAGAAAACATACTAAAGAACAGTCTTTCTAATCGCTGGCTGTGTATAATAACAGTTATTATATACAACTCAGTGGTATATATATATGTCTAAAATATCATAACGTGACGACAAATGGTGCTATGTCAAAAGAACAGAAACACATAATGTATAGTAATGTAAATGTAAGACGTCCCCCTTGTTATTGGGAACCGATCTATAGTCCTACGGGTCGTTGGTCCTACGGGTCGTTGGTCCTACGGGTCGTTGGTCCTACGGGTCGCTGGTCCTACGGGTCGTTGGTCCTACGGGTCGTTGGTCCTA